ATTTTCTCCACCTTCCTAAGAGTAGGGAGAGAGCTTGGGACACACACCGCCAGCACCCAGGGTTTCTCCCCAGCCCCCACGAAAGCCTGGGCAGCTGTCCTATTCCAGAACAGAAGGAGTAGACCCAAGATGGAAACCACGGAGGGGGAAACAGAAGACGGGGGACAAAGGGAGGCCGCACTGACAGGATGGGAGAAGAGCCCCTGAGCAAGCACGGCAACCAAGGCGCTCTCCCGCGTTCAACCCTCATAGCTGCTGGGGAAACTGAGGCACAGAGCAACGCCAGAGGCAGGGGACAGAGACAGAGGCTCATCAACCTTCATTGCTGCTGGGGAAACTGAGGCACAGAGCAACGCCAGAGGCAGGGGACAGAGACAGAGGCTCAGGAAAATGAAAGGAGACGATGGGAAGGAGAGCGCACACTCGAGGGAAGGTGCTGAACCAGGAGGCTGGCGAGGAGGAGGGGCTGTGGCCAGGAAGGAGTGAAGAGAGGAGGTGGCGAAGAGCCGCAGGCCCCGGAGGCTCACCTGTGGAAGTCAGCAACGCCAGAAAGATTGTGATCCTGAGCTGGTCCCCACCCAGTGCGCGGAGAGGTCTGGAAATCACCGCTAGGGGAGGAGCCCCAGCAAGGCTGCTGGCCATCTCCAAGGACCTAAGGGCTGTGCTGGCTGTGCTGGCAGGGCAGGTGGCTGTAGTGTCGGGTTCCCAGCAGGTCGCCCCAGGTTTTATCCTGTGAGGAGGAATGCTGTTGGACCAGTCCCCCCAGCTGGTGACTGGGCCACCCAGACAGTGGGTCAGGGAGGAGGCGGGGCTAGCAGGAGGAAGCAACCGGCTACTGGGGCTAGGCTCAGTAACTAGACGGGGGACTCAGGCTCAGGTTCAAGATGGCTGCCCAGGGTGCACCCTGTGAGGGGCAGAAGGGACCTGTTTACTGCCCAGAGCATGGCTCTATCATTGACTGTCTCGGGAAACAGAGAGCCTGCCTGCAGCTTGCCGAGCGCTTGGGGTAGGAAGTGGCTCAGCCTGGAGTGGCTACAGCTGGGGCAGAGAGTGTTAGGAGCCCGTGGGACCTTAGGCTGGGGGTTGCCAGGGGGATCTTGCTCCTTAACGGCCCATGTCCAGCGCCCTGGCTGCTTCCATGACTCAACCCAAACACTTGGAGCCTGGAATCCCGTTAGCCCACTTCCCTGAAAGCTGTGACTCAGGCCCCAAGGGGGAGGGCTCGATGGCCTCTTGGTCATCTGGCCAAGTTGTCCCTGGTACTTCCTCCCAGTTGTCACTGCAGGTGAACCTCAGTGACTCATTTCTTACCTGAACTCCTGGGAGCAGGCCAACTCTGAGCAGGAGCCATGGCCTATGCCCCCCATACTTGGGAAGAATCGCATCCTGGGACCCCCCCCACACACACACACAAAGGGCCATGGAACTAGGCTTTGGGAGCTGGGGTGCTGTGGGCTGATGTGAATCGTTCTTGACTCAGTGTCTTGCCCTCCTCACCTCAAGCAGGAACCCGCAACATCCCCCCAGACATACATGTCCCTCTGTCCAGTGTGAGTTTCTAGGGGCAGACCTGGTTATGGGAGGAAGCAAGGCTGTGTAAAAACAATACCGCAATCTGAGACTCTGTACCCTACGCTGTGCTGTCCCCAAGTCCCCCAAGATTTAAAAAAAATAAATCAGGAAAGTCAGTAGACTGGATACTGGGTCAACCTGAGAACTCAGCAGGATCAGAGGTGCCTGACCCTCCCTGGCGCAGGTCACATGCTCTGAAGAAAAGACCCTGAATTTAGCTGCCCGAGATTAAGAGTGGGAACAGGGACAGTTAACACCGCTCCTAGGGAGAGAAAGAGAGGCTGATCTCTTTCTGCCTCCGAGCCAGCCTCAGCTCTCTTGGGAGCTCCCTGGCGTGTGTCTCCCAAGCTGTCCTGAGCTGGCCCTGCAGGGCCCTGTGCTGCCCACCTCAATTGTTTAGAATTAAAGAGATAGTGGGCCCAGTTTGAACATGGATGCCCCTCTCTGGCAAGGTGATGCAGGGCACTGTGGGCTGCAAACAGGCAGGGGTGTGGACTATGGGCCATTGTGTGGGGAAGGAGGCACGAGGCAGGTTGGGGGCTAACCTGCAGGCAAGATGAGGCAGAGAGCCCCTGCCCCACCCCATACCAAACACGCAAAATGTGTGGCCTCAGGAACCCCAGTGGTTCATTCTTCTCCCTACTGTGATTGTGGGTGTCACTACAGGAACAACAAAGACGAGGCCATCTTCTCTACGCGCCCACCCCCCCCCCAAAGGTATAGAACAAATATGGAGGAGCACTTGTCTCATCATGTGTCCCCCTCAGGGCCACTTCTGCACCTTCAGCTGCTCCCACACTTCCCTAACCCACCCCCTTGTGACACAGAGGGCCTTAGCCACCCCAGTTCATTCCACAAGTCCTGTGCTAGGTGACTGGGACACTCAGTGAGGAATGGGGCTCGGGTCCTTCACCCCTCTCCCAGGGGTGGGAAGCAGGATGAGTAGTTAACAGCGAGGTGGTCAGTAGCATGGACCTTGATTTGTGCTGTGACTCCCTGAGGGGAGGAAAGGGTGCCTCCCCCAGCCATTCTCAAATCCAAGTCTGTTGCCCGCTGCACACTGGGTTTCAGTAGATGTTTGTTGAATGAATAAGTGATTGTAGAAGATAAGAGGCTAGAGATCAATACCTGCAGCCTCCTGCCTCTGCATTTCCTGAGTCATTGCCCTGGGCAACTAAGAGGCACGTCCCCAGTAAGTCACCTTCTTTGAGACAGGTGGCCAGAAAGAAGCCCCAGCACAAGGGCTCTGTGGGAGTCAGAGGAAGTCCAAGAAACTAGATGGAGATTTCTAGGTACCAAAGGCCAGTTCTCCAATTCCTGGGATGTGAAGAACCAGTCCCTGAAGAACAGGGATGGAGCCCCTGGCATGAGTCAACATTCAGCAAAATATTTACTGCGGGCCTTCATGTACCAGACTCACACCCAGCATCACAGCTGGGCATCTTCACGCTATGCAAGAGATGGATGAGGTACCCAGCCCTGCCACCCACACGGCAGTCCCTGCCAGCGTGCTCAGGGATACCAGCCAATTCACACTGAGGTGTTGATGTCTGATAGGGCTGCAGGAGCATTTACATGCTAAGGGCAGCTGGAGCTGGCCGATGCTGAAGCCAAAACCATGACTCACCAGCGGTGGCGGTTGGGACGTGGGTATGGGAGTCAGGGGACATACTCTGATCAAGGTATCCTACAGGGCACCGCCTCCTCCTGCTGGGGCTGGCACTATAAGTCCCAGGGTCATCGAAGGAAATAAACCACAGCTTAACAGGTGAGTCGGCAGGCATTACCGAGCAGCAAGGTTGGGGGTCATGGAGGGGGACCCTGACCTTAGTGACAAGCTAAAATGATACCTGCCCTGGTGGCTCAAATGGAACTGAAAAGTAAGCAAATCCTCCAGGGGTGATGTCTCATGTCTGTAATCTCAGAACAGGGGAGGTGAAAGCTGGAACGTCTCTGCAAATGTGAGGCCAGCCTAGGCTACAAAGCGAGTTCTAGACAAGCCTGGGCTACAAAGGGAGAACCTGTCTCCAAAGGGTGTGAAGGTGGAGATGTAGCTCAGTTAGTAGAGTATTTAGCTTGCACAAAGGCCTGCTTCAATCCCCAGCACCACATGAAGCAGGACATGGTGTCACATGCCTGTAATCCCAGCACTCGGGAGGTAAAGGCAGGAGGATTGAAGAGACTCAGGGTGATCCTTGGGCAACATGAGAACCTGACTCAAAGAACACAACAAAGAAAATCACAAGTTGCTTGTTGTAGTGGAGGTCGGGAATTTCCCAGCAGATCTAAGTATCATTATAGCACCAACCCGGGCCAGTCCTGTGAAAGGATCAACCAGCAGCATCGTGGCCTCATGAGAAGAGGTGGAATGGCTAAGAAAGGCTGATGGCCTTGCAGGATGTGAAGGTTAATCTTAATTGGCTGGCCTGGAACCGCTTAGGAGACATCCCTCTAGGTAAGTCTGTGAGGTGGCTGGACTTGGGATAGCCTAGGACACACATCCCTGGGTAAGTCTGTGGGGTGGCTGGACTTGGGATAGCCTAGGACACACATCCCTGGGTAAGTCTGTGAGGGGTTTCCATAGTTGTTTAACTGATGTGGATGGCACCATCCCACAGGCTGGGGTCCTAGATTCCCCTGTTACTTCTTCATTGATGGGATAAAATATTCTGACAAAAGCAGACTTGAAGGAGAAAGGGTTATTTTCCTTCACAACTCATCAGGGAGGGAAGTCAAGGCTGCGGGAGTGGGAGGAGGTCACATGACACCCACAGTCTGGAAAGAGAGGGATGGAATGCACACTAGTGTTCGGCTTATAGAGTCCAGTGCCAGCTAAGATGGGTCTTCCCACATCCATTAATATAATTGAGATAACTCTCCGAAAGCATGTTCAGAGGCACATCGCCCAAGTGATTCCAGATCCTGTCAGACTGACAGCACAGATGGGATTAAAGGGGAAAAGGAGGGAGCTGCGGATCATCAGTATCCATCTCACTTCCTGGTTATGAGACCCGCCCAGCTCCTCCTGTCCTGCTGCCTGCCATGCTTTCCCCTGCGTGAAGGAAATCCCAAGTCATGTCTATCTCCTGCTTACAGGGTTCCACTATAATCCAAGCTGTGGAAGCAATGAGTTTACTGGGCTTCCTTACAGATCACGGATGAGGGTTACTTCACAGTGGCGTGGATGACTCCACAGCAGCCGCACCTCCGGAAAGTCTCAGCCTGCATGGATGATGACTACCTCCCAGCTTCATAGAGAGAACGCCCCCTCTTCATTAACCTTCCCACTCTAGCACCGAAAGGCCATGTGCAATTAGGGCAGAGTTACATACAAATGGCCAGACCGTGCAGGAGAGCAGCTGGACTCTCGGGTGAGGGTCTGACGACCCTTCCCATCCGCTCCTTCTATAAAGGAACATCGACAGCCGTCAAGCCTGTTCTCGGAGCCTCTTACAAGTGGTCACCGCTGTGCTGACGAAGACGGTGGCAGTCATGCTCGGAAAGTAGCATTCTGTAGAGTGGGTACTCTGTCACAGAAGGGGAAAAGGAACTAACACAGAAAACTGGTACCGATGAGAGGGCCATCACTGTCCGAATCTGTCCATGCGGTCTGCAGGCCTTTGCACTGGCTTGTGAGAGGAATGTGCAAGATTTGGTCCTGTGACCTCGAGAACCCTTGGAATACTGTCAGTCTGATGGGCCATTCTGGTGAGAGTCCAGACTGCTCAGGAAAAAGCATGACTAGGAAAGGTTGGGCTCATGAAATTCCAGAGGAGAATATGACTACTCAGAACTGGACTATAGGCCGCCATTCGTGCTGTCTTCTGGCAGAGAAAGGCTTCATTGTTGATTTCAAAAGTAACGGACTAAGTTGTTCAGTAGAGAGAACATAGCTCTAAGCTGCAGCGTGGCTGCTGCCGCTGCTTTTCATCAATTCCACCATGAGAACGTTCTACATACGAGGGAAATGTGCAGTTTGGTATGTCTGGAAAGGAGCAGGAGTTTAAAGATGCAGGAAATATGGGTGTAGGAAAGATGGGTGCAGGAACAAGAGATGGGTGCAGGAACAAGAGATGGGTGCAGGAAAGAGATGGGTGCAGGAAAGAGATGGGTGCAGGAAAGATGGGTGCAGGAAAGATTGGTGCAGGAAAGATGGGTGCAGGAAAGAGATGGGTGCAGGAAAGATTGGTGCAGGAAAGAGATGGGTGCAGAAAAGGTGGGTGCAGGAAAGATGGGTGCAGGAAGCTGCTGTAAGTGGAGCTAGATTGGCACCATTACGGAGAAACACTGGCCTCTGCCCCGAGGCAGTAGCACCTGCCCGGAAGGTAAGACAGAGAGAACCTGGATTGAGAACCGAAGGTTCCCTGCTAGAAACTGCATAGGTAGTGTTTTCTCAGGCTCAGCTGACAAGGTTCACAGAGACCAGACTTCACGCTGAGGTGAGATCAGCCCTTCACAATGGCATCCACCTAACGCCCAGATCACGGAAGCTTGCACCAGGGTTCCAGATCACTGAGGCCAGGTAATGTGTGTCAAGGCTGACTTCCTGGCAAGGAGGCTATTCTATAGAGCTATGAAAGTGAACCCTAAATTGTAGGGACCCTAGGGCGGTGATTCTCAACCTGTGTGTCGCAATTCCTTTGGGTCCAATGACCTTTTCACAAGGGTCACATATCAGATATCCTGCACATCAGATGTTTACATTACAATTCATAACAGTAGCAAAATTACAGTTATGCAGTAGCAGCCAAAATAATTTTATGGTTTGGAATCACCACATCATGAGGAACTATATTAAGAGGTCGCAGCATTAGGAAGATGGAGAGCCACTGCCCTAGGGTGTTGGCTATGCCAGGGCTAGAACATCCGCCAAGGAAAGCTGCAGGCAGAGGCTAGAGTTGACCTGAGAGAGGATGCATGTCCTGCAGGCTGCAGAACGGGAAGAGTGGAGTACCCAAACCTGCTGGAACCCGGATGATGCCACCAGCAGTCCCAGATGCCAGGCACAGAACTGCAGGGTGTTCCTTCAAAATCTCGACCTTGCTTTGATCCAGTTCTCCCTCGCTATCCCTACATTCCTCCCTTATGGAGTGGAACTATTTACTCTGTATCATTCAGCAGGGTTTTTTTTTGCAGATTTACATATGCACAAATGAAACAGCATGTGCGCCAACGCACTTTCTTCCCTGTGAGCCTGGTGTTGGCCTTAGTGGCTCTGACCCCAGCTGTACGGCTCTATGGTGGCTTTGTGGTTCCTAGAGGAAACTGAATGACTGTGCACAGTAAGATCTGCTGCACTTCCAACTCCTGAGGAGGACCAGGAACTTCCTGAAGCCAATGGGCAGCGTGTACTTGGTCTCCTTGCTACTCCCATCATCAATTTTGGGCATCAGAATGTTGTTCTTTAGTCTTCTCTGCACCCTGTTGCTGATAATTCTGGGTTTCTGCCAGTTTTGCTCAATCGTGAGGTATCGGTCTGATTGGTGCCAGAACTGCTTGGACCTCTTTTTGAGGATGTTGGGCTCCACCAGAGGTTGAAGGGCAGCCATAATGCTGCACACGAGGTGGCAGCCACCTTGTAGGCAGCACCAAGAGAGAAACCATCCTGTGCCATTTTATATTGGAAATATACGACTTATAGATCTCTCTCTATTTTACAGTGACTCACCAACACTGCTTTGAGTCTCAGAAGAGATTTCAGCTTTTCAACAATATTAGAACTAGTAAGATTTTGGGGACCTAGCCAGGCATGGTGGCACACACCTTTAAGCCCAGAACTCAGAAGGCAGAGGCAGGTATCTCTGAGTTTGAAGATAGCCTCATCTACAGAGCAAGTTCTAGGATAGCCAGGGCTACACAGAGAAACCCTGTCTCAAAAACAAAACAACAACAAAAGATTTTGGGGCCTCCTCCAAATGACCTAAATTCGAGCCTTGAGGGAAAGGGTAAAATGTTACAGATAAATTGATGAGTTTGGGTATCAAATTGAGAAACAGAGGGCTTCTGGTTTGTGATAGTTGATCGGATTTGGAATCTTTGTGGCCTGTCAAGGGTATTTCCAGAGAAGCTTAGCTGAAGCTGGACCATATAGTCTGATTGTGGGCAGCATCATCCCATGAGCTGAGGGCCCAGGCTGAATAAGAGAGGAGACGGGAGAAAGTCCGATGGGCACCATCATTCTCTTCTCTCTGCCTCCTGACTGCCAACTTGATGCACCCAACCTCCTCACAGACAAGGCTGGGAGCCCTGGGGATGTGCTGTGAGGAACTGCATCCCCACTCTCCCGCCAGACCCAGCTGTGAGCCTTCCTTCGCTGCCTCTGACAGCTATTTTATCACTGTGGGCACAGTGAAAAAATGAGGGGCACAGGTGAGTCCTCTGCCCCACTGGGCTTGCGTGCTTTTGAGGCACCTGGTCTGGGTGGCCCTGGGGATGGATACTGGGCCACTGAGGCAGCCCTGCTCTCCGATGTCCCGCCTCCCACTTGATCACACTCCCAGCTGCCCTGGGCACCTGTTGCCTTGGAAACAGCAAGGCACTGGGGCTTCTCTGCCTCTCAGAAACTCGGGTCCTTCAGGACTCCAACCCAGTCCTGGGTGTGGTCCCCCCTCAGAGCCCTCCCAAAGTCCCCAAGCCCTTGACCTCACATTCTTTGCCTTCCTTTAGGCTCCTCTAGCCCTTCCCAGTTCTTCCCCAGAGCTCTCGGCCCCTCCTATGAGAAGCCGACTGTCTTAGTTACTTTTCTAAGGCTGTGATGAGACACCACGCCCAAGACAAGTTGCAGAAGAGTTTATTTAGGGCTTACAGTTCCAGAGGGTCAGAGTCCAGGAGGGCAGAGTGGAGGTAGCAGGAAAATGGCAGCGGGATAGCGGCTGAGAGCTCACACACATGCTGATCCACAAACAGGAAGCAGAGAGAGCTCACTTGAAACTGTAGGAGTCTTTTTGAAACCTCAAAGCCCTCCCCAAGTAATATACTTCCTCCAGCCAGGACACACCTAACCCTCTCCAAACAACCACTGACGACCGAGTGTTCAATGCTGGAGACTTACGTATGGGAGCCCTCTCATCCAAACCAGCACACCAACCACGCCTGACTCCACACTGCCACACAGCTCTCTGGTGACAAGGGAGTCGGGATGGGGCTGCATGGTGCAGACTCACGACACCCTTTCTTTCATCTCCTCTTCCCAATGCTGAGCTCTGCAGTCTGGGAACTTCTCACCACTGAGCACAGAGAACAAAGTTTTGCTGTAACGAAGTTCTCAGCATTTCCTGCGGTGGAGATTGAGAATCGCTCTCCCTGCTCAGCCTGCCTTTCTGTCCTTTCAGGGATCCCCAACATCTACCACCCCACACCTTCTAGACACAGACAGGGCTTAGCTATCTGACTCTGGGTGCTAGGCTTCTGAGCACCATGCTGATCATGTGACTCCCAGAGCATCAGGCTGAGACTGTCTTCCTGGAACACGTTGTATGGCTGGGTTTGGCTGGCTCTTGGGTTCCACCAAGAGGCTCAGGAATTTTCCTCAGCTGCTTTCACCCTTGCCTTTGGGGCTCCCCTTGTGTCTTTACTTTCTCCATCTTCTTTTGGAGTTCTTCCCTTTCGGAAGCTGCCTCGAAGGCGTGTTTTCAGCCTTTGTATCTTCAGTGAGTTGGCTGGAGTTGGGTGTGATGATACACACCTGCTCTCCCTGCTTTTGGGAGGCTGAGGCAGAAGAATCTTGAGGTCCAGCCTGAGCTAAGTAGAGGAGCCCTATCATGAGAAAAAAATAAATAATAATTTTAACAATAAAAATCAAAGCTTTATAAAAGAAAAGAGAAGTTGGCTGCTGTAGTTCTGAGTGTTAATCTCCTTCTCCATTCTGACTTCACGGTGCTCATGGGCAATGCCCACCAGCCTGGAAGGGGGTCTGGGGAAGAAGTGTCCAGCCCTCCCACAGGAATAGTACTAGGCTCCAGGACTCTCCCCCTACGCCCCATCCCAGCCTGCTCCCTCTGCTAGAGAGAGCTGCTTCTTTCCACCACTTCAAGGTGACTCACAGGTAACTTGCCTGCCACGAGGAAAGCCACAGATCCATGGCTCAGAACCACGTCAAGATCAAATTTAAAAACAGACAGATAGATGTGGTGGTAACCCCAGCACCTATGAGACCAAGGCAAGAGGACTGTATCAGGTCGGAGGCAGTTGGGCTACACCGAAAGTACCAGGCCAGTCAAGGCAGGACTAAGGATGGACTAATAGCACGGACTAGCGATGCTGGTGATGGGCTTGCTAATGCTGGGTCCCGCTGGCAGGACTGACACTATCCACATAATTTGCAGACTTCAAGTGGCTGTCATCAGAGTAGCATCTTGACATCAGTTGGGCTCCATCAGGCAGCTGATGCCACAAAGCAGGCCATCCCCTGGACAGAGCCAGAAGGTCCAGAGGGAGCCAGACAGAGTCCAGCTGGGGACGTGGCCCAGAGAGAATGGGTTACAGGATACACATGGGTGCCCTTGGTCAGGCTAAACTCTTCCTCACACTCCTGGTGACTCATTCTGACTCACTGGACAAGAGGTAGGACCTCTGAGTTCCGACATAGAGGTATGGCTGGGGTTATCTCCTGGTCAGTGTCTCTGAGACCACAGAGGAGTAAGAGACTGGCTTTAGCCTGGCTGGAGAGTGGAGGGTGGTGCAGGGCCATGGCCCTGCTTTAGTTCCAGGGTGAGCTGAATACATAGCTGCAAACTGCAAGTCTCTGCCTTGGGGGGTGGGCACTTCTGAGCCATGGCCTAGCTGTCCCCCACCCCAGGTGTGACCTGGGCAACCACGTCATGCCTGCCACAGAGGAAACATGGAGAAACCAGCTTGGGCCACCCCCGCAGGGTGGGAGCTACTTCCCAACCTGTTTCTCCTCCCCCTCTTCCCTCCAGGGAAATGAGTGGTTCTGCTAATTGCTGCTAATGAGCAACTTGGGGCCAGTCAGTGTGGCTGTTTCTGCAGCCAGGAGGCTGACGGCAAGGGTGGGGAGCTGCAGGTGTGTGAGCGAAGCAGCAGCAGCAGAGAGTGGTCATCCTGTGGGCTGGGGTCCCTGACCCCCATGCCCGCTTCCACACCTGTCCCTTCAAGCCATGACCTGGGCACTAGAACCTGGACTTCGGGCAGGTTTTTTGAAGAGATGCATGCTCGGGTTTTCCTGGTTCAGAAATTGGCAGCATGATTCCCCAGTTGCTCAAGACTTGGGCTGGGGAAACATCCTTGATTCATTTCTTCCCCCCACCTACATCTGCCTTCCACATTGCATGAACACTAGGAAGGCCGAGAAGATGCCAGTGAATCTGGGCACTGTGTGCTCCATGGGCACAGGCCCCACAGCTAAACCCAGACCCTGTGACAACCTTTCTTACATCATGCTTACTTACTTACATCACGCCGTTCTGATGGATGTGGATAAATATCATGAGATAGAGCAGATGCAGAGACCCACAGCCAAACTTTGGGCAGAGCTCTGGAACCCTACAGAACAAGAGAAGGAAGGATTGTAGGAGCCAGAGAGGTCAAAGGACACCAAGAGAACATGGTCGACAGAATCAGCTAAGCAGGGCTCACAGGGGCTCACAGAGACCGAAGTGACGACCACGGATCTTGCATTATGTCCTCAGCATACGTGCTGTGGTTATTTAGCTGGCTTTGGTTTTGTTTTTTGTTTTGTTTTTCGAGATAGGGTCTCCCTGTGAAGTCTTGACTGTTCAGGAAATCACTCTGTAAACCAGGCTGACCTCAAACTCACAGAGATCTGCCTGCCTCTGCCTCCCAAGTGCTGGGATTAAAGGTGTGCACCACCACCACCTGGTTTTAGCTGGGGTTTTTTGTAGTACTCCTAACAATGGGAATGGGGGTGACTCTGACTTTTTGCCTGCTCTTGGGACCCTTTTCCTCCTACTGGGTTGCCTTGTCCTGCCTTGCTGAGCAGCAGTGGTGCACACCTTTAATCCCAGCATTTGGGAGGCAGAGGCAGGCGGGTCTCTGTGAGTTTGAGGCCAGCCTGGTCTACACAGTGAGTTCCAGGATAGGCTCCAAAGCGACAAAGAGAAACCCTGTCTTGAAAAATTCCAAATACTGTATTTGATTGCTCTGTAAGATAATTATTAAGATTTATTTTTTATTTATATGTACATGTGTGTGTCTATGTGCACATATCCAAGGTAGGTGTGGATACCCAAGGACGTCAGAAGACAGTGTTGAATCCCCAGGTACTAGAGTTAGAGATGGCTGCAAGCTGCCCAGGATGGATGCTGAGAACTGAACTGGAGTCCTCTGTAAGAGAAGCAAGCACCCTTCATCAAGCCCATGCCAGGCCCAGTCTCTCTCAAGCTCCCAATTAAATGCTTTCTGTTATAAGTGGCCTTGGTTGTGGTGTCTCTTCACAGCAATAGACCAGTAACTAAGACAGACAAAACACTCATGCACATAAAAAATAAAAAAATCTAAAAAAATTAAAAATCACTGATCAATCAATTAAAGGTCTCAAAATTTTTACTTAAACAAGTTATAGATGATATAT